GCAACTATTCTTTCTCTTAATTCCTCTGCAGTGTTAATGGGACTTGTGTATACTAGTATCTTAAGATACCCCCAAAAAAAGAAATTTAAACTGTTGAGGTCTGGGGACCTTGTCGGCCATTCTTGGGGCCCACCGCGGCCAATCCAACGAATTGGATAAACATTTTGTAAATAATTAGGAACCGCTACACTGCAATGCGCTGGTGCACCATCATGTATGTACCACATATTGTTTTTTATTACCAACGGCACCAAAGGCAACTGTTGTTGATGAAAATTGAGGTAAGTCTGTCCGTCAAGTCGTCCCGGCAAAAAGAATGGGCCAATAAAGTGGTTGCCAATAATTCCTGCCCATGCGTTAACCGAAAATTGGTGTTAAATGGGTTTCGGTTACAGCATAGCGATTTTCTTCTGCCCACAAATGATTATTGTGGAAATTCTGAACGGCATTTCAAGAAAGATTGGCCTCGTCCGTGAACAGAATCATTGATTCAAATTGCGAATTTTGTGTAATTTTTTGAACATACCACTGACAAAAGATCACACGTCTTGGAAAATCAATGGGAAGTAATGCCTGTACTCTTAAAGTAGGATATAACAAAAAATCCACTAAAATTCTCCAAACAATTTGATGGCAAATATTTAAGTATCTAGCGATCTTCCTCGTTCTCATTTCAGGATGTTCTTCGACCTCGTGCAGCACTGTTTCCTCAATTTCAGGTGTTCGAAAAGGTTCGACTATCTGGTAAAGAACGATCGGGATGTCTCTGGTAATAAATAGGTCTGGCTTGCTCACCATTACCGTCGGCAAGGCCATATACGTAATGCATTTCCGCCACTTCTGCATTTGAATAATTCACCACTATTAACAAGATTGTAAAAACTAAATAATGAAAAAGATGTCACAGCGAATAGATTTGAATAACAGAGACTTGTCAGATGTCAAAAGCCAGTGATATTTCCCAGAGCAACTAGATATTTATTGCTAAATTGCATTCCTCAATTATTACATTAATTTTCTCGGACAATAGAACGGTTTTTATTTTTTTACTCAAAAATGGCGCATCAAAGGAAAGCAGCTCAAGAGAGATCATTTGTTTTGAATTGAACGGGGAATTGAAAAATAATTATTTGGCAAAAAGCCATTGGAGTACCACTTTTTTCTTAAAAAATATCGAAGTCAATATTCGTACGCACGCCACTGTTGAAGCTAAATATTATTTTTGCATTGAAAAATATGCAGCTTTATCAACTTTCACTACGTACTAAATATCAATGGAATATCTGAAGCAGTTTTGAAAATGTTAATTAATTTCCAATTTTTTTCCTAAAACTTCAACACCCCGAGTTTTTGTAAGGAAACATTTTTGGACCATAGTTTATAAGGCAAACTAACATTCATTTTTCATATAGATTCACATCCTTGAATATTCGCATATCATTAAGGAACACCCTGTATACGCATGCCTATAGTATAGAACTGAATGTGGTAAGAATGTTTGGTTGGCGAATTCATTTGAGCTACATCTCGCATTCTGAATCAATCAAGGATTCACCAAGATCAACTTGATGTTTGGTCTCCCAGTTTTCCAGAAATATAGATCGGATCATCGAGTATAAATAATTTCAAAGCTAAAAAGCGTATACAAATCATGTATAAAGTAGCTTGATCCACTCCTTTTATCAAAGATATTATATGAATCAACGTTTACGTTGTCGTTATTCAAAATATAAATAAATATAAATGAATATAAATAAATATAAATAAGTATAAATAAATATAAATAAATATGTATAAATATAAATAAATATAAGTAAATATAAATAAATATAAATAAATATAAATATATATAAATAAATATAAATAAATATAAATAAATATAAATAAATATAAATAAATATAATTAAATAAATAGCGTTTATTGCCCAAGAGTTAAGGAAACGATTTACAGGACAATCCTAAGTTAAATCAAAATAACAAGAACATAAAACATCTAAAGAAAAAAAAAATAAACAAGAAAAAGAAGCAGAAAAAACATATTTCACTCAGGTGAGTAACATATCATAAATTATCCAAGCAATTTCTAGCTACTCCCAGAATGCTGTTCAAACTGTCAGCATGTATGTCACAATAATTTGATATTAGATTGAAAGTTTCACACATCACATATATGGGTGCCTTCAAAAACAAATTTGTGCGAGCCCTGTCGCAATAAAATGTTTTAGCTGTACGAAATTGAATAGATGGAACATTAAAGTTTATTTGAGTTTGTATGAAATACAGGATTTTTCCACTTTTCCATTTTCTTCAACCGTCTGGTGTAAGCTTTCTTAATAAATCAAGAATTAGTTGGGTAGTCGTCCTTAACGTTGCTGATTTTTGTTGGGTGAAAAGCTATACTAATAAGTGACATATAAATCCGAACATCCAGTTTAAATGGTTTTATTTTAATAAAAGTTGGTGAATGTATTTATCTTACTGTAAATAACAAGTGCAAAAATTTTCAGCCTTAACAGTTGGACATTCCGGTTTTTATACTGCTTTTTTTTAATTCACTAACGCTCTAAAAATGAATATTTCAGCCGCAGCAAAGAATCAACGTTGGCGGATTTTGGTTCTTGACACCCTTTACGATCGGTTACGATGCCTAGAGTACGAAGACCTGTACGATTTCGTCAACTTAGTGAGTTTGTTAGGGGCCGTATAGTGGGACTTCGGAAAGCTGGACTTTTTTTCGGGCAATTGCAGTTAGAGTGCAAAGAAGTGTAGACACTGTGGTCAGGTGTTGTCAGGCATGGCTTCGAGAAGGCCGTACGCAAAGAGCAAGGGGCACTGGACGCCGCCGTAGAACAACAGACCGTGAAGATCGCCGCCTAAGATTATTGGCCTTAAGGGACCGTTTCTCCACTACCAGGTCCATTGCAAATCAATGGTTTGCAGAACACGGAAGTCCTATTGTCATGCGAAGTGTTTACCGACGAATGAGAAGTTTTGGCTTGTTTTCATACCGGCCATACTGGGTCCTCCCTTTAACTCGAGAACAACGACGTAATCGCCTTGAGTGGTGCAGACAACGGTCACTCTGGGATCAGGAATGTAACAGTATTGTCTTTAGTGACGAGTCTCGATTTTGTTTAGGCATGCACGATGGTCGTGCCAGGGTTAGAAGGCGACGTAGTGAAAGGAGGAATCCACAGTTTTTTGTTGAAAGACATGTTCATCACACTGTTGGAGTTATGGTTTGGGGTGCTATAGCTTATGGTTCCAGGTCACCTTTAATCTTCATCAGAGGTAACATGAACGCTCAGCGTTATATCCGCGAAGTTCTAGAACCCCATCTTTTACCCTATCTTGACACCCTGGCAGATCCAACTTTCCAACAAGATAATGCCCGACCACTTGTTGCAAGAGTCACAATAGACTTATTTCAACATAATGATGTCACATTGTTACCATGGCCACCAAGATCTCCCGACTTATCCCCAATTGAGCACGTGTGGGATATGATGGGTAGGAGATTGCTCAATTTGCAACGTCCTTCTCCGACTCTAGAAGCACTTCGAGAGGAGTTGGTGGTTGCCTGGAATGAGATACCACAGGAGGACATTGGCCACCTGATCAGAAGCATGCCTAGGCGCGTTGGAGAATGCGTAGCACATCAGGGTGCATCCACACATTATTAAAGGTCAAAGGGCTTTAAAGCAGTGCAATAATTTTGAAATTTTTATCATTTACTTATTATGCTTCACTAAGTACTTATACAAAATTTTATTAAAATAAAACCATTTAAACTGGGTGTTCGGATTTATATGTCACTTAGTATATTTCAACATAATCACCAGCGATGCGTCCTTCCCGCCAAAGCAAATGAGCCTGGTTTGTAAGATTATGATTATTCGTTCTAACGAATATGAGAAAATAAGAATATTGTTGTGGTCAGGACTCTCGAGTTTTTCAAAATAAAAGATAAAATGATTAGTGTGGCTAAAATTCATCGAATTCACCAAGTTTGATGATTTATTATAATTGCTATTACGTTTTTGGATTAATTCACTACCAGAAGGTCTTGTAGATGTAAAGAAGTATATAATAAACTTTCAATACTCACGTACATGATGGGCGAATAAATACCGATCTTTTCACCTGTTTTATTTAATATACTCAGTAACACTAGAAGTGTTACACCCAGAAAAAATAAATTTCTTGATTTTTTTGCAAAATAATGACTATAGTTAAAGCATGATGTGGCAACAATGTCAGTGTTTTATCTTGGTTTTTGTCTGCTTCAAAGTATAATGAAAAAATTGGAGGCGCGCCGCAAGATTATATCAGGAGCGGTTTCCAGATCGTCAAGCTCCATCACACGGGCGTTATCCTTGGATCGTAGAATACTTGAAGAATGAACATAACGATCCTGTTAATGGTAATGGCTTTATAGTAAGCGAAGAAGTTGTAATAAAAGTCCTAGCGTACGTAGAATATGATCGTATTGCTTCTACTCGCGAAATAGGTGAGCAGTCCCAAATTTCCCACGAAAGTGCAAGAAAAATTCTACGGAAACATGGCTTTAAATCGTTTAAGTACTAAAATCATCACCATCTGTTTGAAAATGATTTTGCAAGACTAAATAATTATTGCAACTGGTTTTTGAAAAATCTGAACATAGATGCTGTCTTCCATCACCATAACATTTTTTCAGATGAATCCAGGTTTACTAATCTAGGGATGTTTAATGCTCGGTATTGGGCTAAGGAGAACCAAAGGCTAGTGTAGGAGGTACCTTCCAGGAACGTTTTGGAGTGAATGTTTGGTTAGGCGTAGCAGGGCTTAATATCATTAGTCCTTTATTTTTCTATCAATCGTTAAATGATGATATGTACTTGGAATTTTTACAAAACCAAATAGAACATTTAGGGTAAACCGAGGAAAGATGGCCATATTTTTTAATCGTCTGTAATACTTTTAATAATTGGGTTTTATCAAAAAATATAATATTTTAGGGTAGGGCATGGTAATTATTATTTGTTGCTCTGTGCAAATTTATTATAAATATGGTTTTTCATTTTGTTGATAAATATCGGTTTTTTTTATATGTGGGCCATCTCTCCTATAGTGTTTAGTAGAGATGGCCATATCATAGAAGGTAAAATGGCCATATAAAATTCAAAGAAAATAATGAGTTTTATGAGAATACTCGTGAAATACCTATGAGACTTTATTATTACATATAACAGAAAAAAAACTAAAAACTCAATAGCCAATCCTTTTGCCAAAAAAGTAACTTACATTAAAAAACTAACTAACTTAAACTTTTTTCTTTCATAATAACGACAGGAGGAAGAAAAGTACCCTCGGCGTTACAGCAGGCAACAACTGTTACAGTCTCGGCCTTTTCTGCTCAAGCAACTGACGAAACTACTTTTGATCCTTTTACTGCCAAAACTTCCCCCGGTCTTGTATTTAGTTGCAATCCACCCTCGTCCATATTAAAAATATTTTTCGGGTTTATCACGATATTGTTTTCTTCCAGAACACTCGGCAGTACTTTAAAGTTATCAACTACTACCTTTCTAGACATTGCTAGACATTGCTGTGCACCTCGCCAACGACAAACTTTCTGCTTTTCTAACTGATATTTGTGGATCTCTGGTGAGAAATGAATGCAGCCAAACTTAACCAGCTTTCTGAAGCCTATTATTAAATTTATGTTTTAAGCCCAGCTGAACAGCAAATTTATAAGCTATGGTTCGCAAATCATCTCTAGTAAGTGGAGATCCACTTATTTCATTTCTTTAATATGCCGAACCAGTCTGTTTTCATGTGCAGCTGCATATTGGCCATTTTGTCATTGCGTAGCCTCAGCAACCGTTGCAGCGATTGTAATGGAAAGTGAGTGATGCCATGAATCAGCATTACCTACTACATCTCCTCTACCAACAAAATCGGTACAATGGTTTCTGAAAAAGCTCGGTGACATGTATACAGACCGATAGGAGTGAGTGTCTTGATCTTCATGATAAAAACATACTTCCACATTCTACTGAAAAATGTATTCACTTTAAAAAGGTACTATAGACCATAGATAATGATTATGAACCTATTTCCGTGCTAAATAATGCTGTATGCGGACAACGTACGTAGCATGTGGAGTATGATATCATGTGTATGGCACAACGGCGCTACCAGCAAACGGAATCGCACAGCAACTCTTTGTTGCGTGAAGCAGTGGATTACACATGCGACTCGCACTGTGAACAAAATTCAGTTCAGGACAAGTCAAAAGTTTACGAGTAGTAGTAGTACGCAGAGTATGTCACCAGATTTTTTTGATACGGATTTTCAAATTTCTCTCCTTACACTTCAAGACCATCGGGATAGGGAAAAACTTGAAAGACCCTTTTTGTGCAAAAGCCACAGACAGAATGTTAGTCTGCGAGGATAGTCTTCTGGTAGCCAGGCCTGCACTCTTTGTACATAGTAGGGATAAAGCAAATTTTCCCGTAGGAGTCTATGGACTATGGTATGCAATAGTCCTACGCGGCAGCCTAATTCCCGAGTGCTGATATCTGCATTGATTTCCATGATGTTTAAAATTTGTCCCTCCTGCTCTACAGTAACCTGTCTTTCACGAGTGTGAATATTCGTGGGCTGAACACTTCCTGTATCTCGAAGACTTTAGTACACTTGCACAAATGTCCTTCTGGGTGTACCCGTTGGCGAAATCTGTCACGATAAATTTGATCAGCAAGATTTGAATTCTGACGAGCTTTATCGTAAACTAACAACATTTCGGTGAACTCTTGATTTGTAAACAAACACGACGACGTACGCAAACAAAAACATGTCCCATGCCCGATAACTAACCACTCTTACCGTTTGCGATCGATTGCCGGTTCGATAAGAGATGACGACGCGCTGTTGTCATGTGAGTTTTAAATATTTAATTTAATGAAACTTACTTACTGACTACAAATTTTGACTTAACTTAGAAAAACTTAATGCCATTTATTTGTTAATTACCCAATTTAAAAACGTTTTAGATTAGGTTATAAAAATTAGTAAGATGGTGGTGATTGTGGTCGATATAGAGCATTTAAAGTTGTAAACTAGAAAACCATTTAGGCAAAAATCTATTGACTTTTGGACTATGGGTCATATGAACTTTTTGACTTGTTTTGACCGCCCTATTACCCATTTCAATAATGACTACCATAACGTTTATACCCTGTATTGGAAACGTATCGTTACCGGACATTGTCCTTTAAACGAATATTCATCAAAAAATACCGTCTCGGTTATTCCTTTGGTAAATTGCTGAATTGCGTGTACAAACCTATCCGCCTTTTTCATCGCATCTGAAACGCAAAAAACATGGGAAACGTCTGGATGATTATTTGCTTCGTGCCGGGACCTTCCTAATCTTTCTCGAAAATCGTAGAGACAATGCATCGGAATTTTTCAATTACGCAGCAAAAACGGATCGCTTTCCCAGCAACTCAAATCGAAAGATATCACCCTACGGATACGATCCGTTTTAATTATGAGAAATGGTCCTTCCAAAGAGCTAAATTAATCTATTTATCTCAATTAGTGATTCTGCACGATGCTTTGGAGCTTAAGTATAAGCGTAGTCAGACTAGTGGTGAGTGATCCCTTGATCTGAACCAACACTGGGAACCTCAACAAGAAACCATAATCGCCTAACAAGATGCTTTTTTTATGTTACATGAGATGTACAATCATGACAAACCATGTCACTCACTTTGTTACAGGGGGTGTAAGTTATATACTACACTAATGGATATGACAGGTCCATTTGCGCACGTTACCTATAGGTTATGATTTGTTCATTCTATAGCTGCTACTCCTCGTCCTCAGATCACGCAGCTTAACTTTATTTCTGCAAATACTTGTGAAAAGAATTGCCAAAGACGCACTGTCAGCGGAAAAGCTTTGATTTTTCAAAATACTACCCAGGTAATTACCAGAAGCAATTAGCAGGGCAGACCAGGAGTGCCCGTCGAGAGGTACCCATACAGTATGGAGACGCCCAAGGCTTAGGAGCCTGCTGGAGGCATAGGTTAGGCAACTGACACGCAAGAGAGACCAAACATCCTAGAAGTTGTCTACAGCGACCTGAAAGGGGAGCACTCGGAGCTGCTGAAAGAATGCGCAGCCCCAAGAACTCAACTAATGGAACAAGGCACAAATATTGGGAAGCTTACCAGCATAATCCAAAGAAAAGAGGCCCACAGCCTAGGTTATCGTTTGTGTCCTTTCCGGGCGTGAAGGAAGAGGTGTTTGTCGAGCTCTCTGAACGGATGTGGATCCATCACCGCAGCCTTGCTCCGAGTCTATAGGTAATACTTTGTATCCGACCGTCCTTACATCAACATTGTTCATAACTCATTAACCATTATTGTGATTCTGCGTAGTATATAAAGTAGTCTGACATACAGTACCGAGCAAAAGTAGAGAAACAAAACACATTACAAATAAAAATCCAGAAAGATTTACTCTAACCCAAAACTGTACACTAAAGTTTTTTATGTATGACTACCTCAAGATAATGAAATGCTTATCTTTGTATACATGCTTTTTTTTCAAAATAATATGGTCGGTTTTATGTTCAACGCGCAAAAGTAGAGAAACATTTTGTAAATATTTAGTTTATACTTAGTCGTTGATTAGAATAGGTGTTATTTTTGAGTATATTTGGTAAAGTGTAGTTCAAAAACATGGTCACAAGAATTACATTGAATTTGCAAATAAAAGAATTCACTATTTTAAAATATCGGTCAGGCATTAAACAAGCAACCATAGCCAAACAGCTGAATTTAAGCCGATCGGTAATCTACAAAACTATTAAGCTGTTCCGCCTCAGAAAATCGTTGGTAAGCCCTCCTAAGACTGGTAAAGCGCGAAAAAACACATCTAGGATTGATAGGAAAATTAAAACACTTGCTCTTAAAAATCCATTTACTACCGCTGTCGACATAAAATCTCAACTTGAAGAAGTAAATATTGGTGTTCACACTCTTCGAAGACGTTTAAGGGAGAGTGCTTTACCAGTAAGGAGACCATCTAAAAAACCCTTTATTTCCAAGTAAAATCGGACCGCCCGTCTTCAATTTGCTTACCATCATTTAAACTGGTCTGAAACAAGGTGGAAATTCTGTATTACTTTTTGATGACAGTAAATTTAATTTACTTTCATGGGATGGCATTTTATGGGTAAGACGTCCTAAAAACAAGCGATTTAATTCTAAGTTCACTTTGGGCATAATCAAACACGGAGGCGGGAAGGTTCAAGTAGGTTCTGTGGTCTTCAAATGGGACCCATCATCAACATTGAAGGAATCATGGACCGGTACAAATACTTGAAAATATTAACTGATACCATGCTACCTTACGCAGAAGAAAACATGCCTCTACTCTGGCGGTTCCTGCACGACAACGACCCCAAGCACACAGCGAAAATAATAAAAACTTTTTTTGCAGATCACAATATTAATGTCATTGAGTGGCCAGCTAAGAGTCCAGGCCTTAACCCCATAGAGAACCTACGGGATTTAGTTGATAAAAAAATTCGGACTGAACATCCACAAAAGTTCAAAGATAGTGCCGAACTATTTGAAAGAATCGAAGTCGCCTGGAATTCTATTCCAAAAGAAACAATAGATAGCCTAATTCGTTCTATAAGCTACTACACACAGTGCCGGCCGCAATGCCGCCGGGTTTATGCCGGGCGGCTATGCCGAGCGGCTATGCCGTCGGCAATACAAGCCGCCGGCACAAGCCGCGCAAAGTCGCCAAGCATCATTCCGGTTGTGACAGTCACATAGAACGCTAGTGAAGTGCATATTTTATGATTGGTTGGTTAAAATGAATAAGGAAATCATCAGCACAGCCGCCGCAGTTGTAATTTTTATTTTAATAAGAATAAATACAAAAGGACGAGAAGGTTTTGTTTGCACCCAAGTTTACAAAATAGAAAATAGCGGAACGGTACTGT